AGCTTTATTTGGGGGGGGGTAAATTCTCCAACGACAAATCCTGGGTGTGCCACTGGCTGGAGGCAATGAATGCCTCCACAGAGTAATGAAAATACGAATTCCTTAGACCCATCCCTCAACCATGATTTTCTTCTGTATCTCAATAACGAGTCTAAAAGGAAAAACTGGCGACCGCGTAATCTGAGGGTACACTGCACCCCGATTCAAGGCAAATTCTCCGCCGAGACGAGGCGTTTGAAAGTACCCCAACAGTTTCTTTTGAAATAGGAGTTTGTGTGGCCCCCCAAATTGTGGGATTGTGTAAGTGTGGCCCGTCAACTTTCTAGATTCAGGGACTCACATCTGAGGGCAAAGCAGACAAAATACTTTGAATAATTGTCCAAAGAGTCTGAGGAAGTAGAGGGATGCCATTTTTTTGGCTGCGGACACACTTGGGGAAAGTTTGTTTTTGGTGGATACAGTTTGTTTTTGGTGGATAATTAAAAATTGAACTGGTTAACCTACAAAAAATTGGAAACCAGTAAGACCCAATGACACATTGGTTTTGTTTGAGAGGCCTCGGGGACTTCGGTTGACTGGAATGGGGCTCCGAACTTTGTTGTTTTTACACTGTTGTTGTTTTGTTTTAATGGCGCTTTCAGCAACTCCGGCTATTTGCGCCAATAACTATGGACTGGAAACCAAATACATTTAAAGCCTGGGCCAAGCCAGGCTTGGACTCGAACCCGAGCCTCATTGATGCAAAACGAGGAAAAACCGCTACGCTAACAAGCTAGCCCACTCCCCCTTTTTACGATGTTTTCAATGGTGCTTGCCTTCATAGTATAGTGCACCCCTGAACCCAAGTCCAATCTTCTACGTTGACTGGGGTTGTTTTGGAGGAATCGCGCCCTCTTGTGTTGTTACTCTTGAAAAGAGAGGGCGTGTTCTCGGTTTTTGTAGGAGCACGTCGATTGTCCTCACGTGAATACAACCTTTACAGGCCATCAGCAGTTAGAATGGAAGATACCAATTCCATATTATCAGTCCACAAACAGTAGATTAGTAAAGAATTTTGGAATGGTGGTTGGATTTAAGATTGGTTTCCTATGCACTTTCCGATGGAGGGATGGGAACCAACGGACAGCTTATTTTTCGTTTGTCCAAGCTCGGGATGGTAACCAGGAGAACAGTGCACCACATCGATCCGGGGTCTGCCTTATAAACACAGGCAATTCTTTCCAAGTTGAAAAACCACGTCTCAAACCAATTGTAGTTTTACACCCCCAAACAAGGATGGAAATAAAAATTTCGACAAAGTTTCAAATTAGTACTGGAAGGAATGTCATTTCGTTTCACGGTATAGTATTATAGATTAACACTGGTACTTATGTGAAGAAGTGCATGTTTCTTGCATTTTTAACGGTAGCTGCAATCAATTTTTTTTACAATACAAACTTTCAAACTGTACCTTCGTGTCTTATTTATTAACCAAATGGGAGCGTAGAAGAGTGTTCATACATTGACGAAGAGTACAAAGTTGCAGAAAACTTTTGTCTAAGAAACATTCATTGCGACTACCCTTTAACAGACACGCAGCGGCGATGCAATGAACGGATGTTGAAACTTTACCCAATTTCAGTGCTTCATTCTGATATCTCATCCATTCAAGAACACCTGACAACACAGGACCCACTTCTAAATGACATTGCATTTACAGCAAATAGGACAAAAGGTTCCCATCTTTGACAGAAAATAAACCGTCTTATTTTACCGAAGAAAATATGTTTCAAGATCCTGATCATGGTACTGTCGGATTCAGTCGGTTCGTTAACTATTAAAATGGGACTGAATAATTTCGAATCAACAGAAGAGTTCACCTCTTTGCGGTTAGTGGCATTAATTTCACAGGCTTCGCACAACAGATGAAAGTGCGCCCCCTCAGCCTTCAAATGTCCTTATGACGGTGAGGCGAATCCGTATGCATCATGTTGAATCACGCCGTCGAGATAAAGATCTTTGCCGGCTTTTTATCAATCAAAATGCACATAAAATTTGACGAAACACAGTTGTACCCACAAAGGGACTACGATACAAAGAAATGTGTTCTGGGCTGCGCCGGGTGAGAATATACAAGAGAGAATCCAGGCACACTGGCGGAAGTCCTGGCCAAGAGATATAAATCTTCATGCGCATAACGCCGGGTGTTCTTTTCCCAGCGTCCCTTGATTGTGATTTTCTCGGTTTAACTATCTGCATGACATATTGACCACAGCACGCTTTCTACTATGCATTAATAATGTTGCTTAAGTTGTTTGACCTTGCCTTTTTTATAGAATGCTTGAAGGACACCTGTGAATGTGCGTATGTTTGTGTTTGTTGCACGTTGTGTCAGTCCGTGGAGGGGTCTGTCAAAGGGACAAGATAAGACACAGACCTTGAGCCTTTTTTTTCCACGTTTGCTTGCAGGTGGACGGGGATGGGTCTGTAAATGCGCGTGCGCATGTGTTCTGATGGTATCGATCTTGCAGTGTTTGTTGACTTTTATGTCGGACGGTCACGAAGCCCCTGTTTGGGTGCATCACGTGACTTCACGTCTACTCGGCTGTAAATAGCAATAGGCCTGAAAATATGAGTTGGTGTCCTTCAAAATCAGAGCGATCCAACATGGCAAATGCTTTGCTGTTTAGGTTTTATATTTACCAACTTTACTAACTGGGCCCTGACTTTAGATGGCTTGCTCCTCCGTGATTCATTCGAATGGCTCATTCGAGTCTCCAGTGTTAAACAGTGGACCACAAGTCCTAGGTATCAAAGACGATTAAATTCTGGGGCAAAACTACATCTCTCTTGTTCTTTGCATGGGTGACATCTAGGTGAAGATAACTTTAAAAACTTCCCGCTAGAAACGACACCGTGAGCTGACCAAGCTCGAGCGACTGACTTGTTCATCTCCCCCCGTCTCCCCCTCTCTTTTTGTTTACACGTTTTAGGGCTGCGATTGAAACACTTCATATCAAAATACAATTTCATTAAAATTTCCTTTTGGGGTAGTGAAAATGACTGCTTTAATTAACGTAAACAAAGTAATTTCACATCCAAACATAAACACTAGGCCTAAGGATATGTTCGATCCTTAGTCAAACCAGAGGGTCAACATAGCTCGTCCGTGTCTTAACTCACATGATTTGACGGGTGACAACAAACAGGCAAAATAATGTTTTAATAATAAACAACACAAAAAAATGGCAACCAGAGGTTAGCAGGAAGATTATTATCAAATCAGTGTACGCAATCAATTTGGCAAACCGATGCCTGACAAGCAATCCGAAGTTATGTTCTGGAATGACACGGGACACTCACTGATTACAATTCACATCACTGGGCAAACTAAGACAAGAAAGAGTGATT